GTAATTTATGGACAACAAATTTATATATACTTGTTACTGTTTTATTTGATGACAGAAACATAAAAAATTTTATAAATTGTATTTTCGAAAACTATTTAATTATCCAGAAAATAAAAAAAATTTAAAAAATATCCGGAATTCCGGAAATATCCGGACAATTTTTACAAGTTTTTAATGACTTTTTAGGACAAATTAGAGAGAAATTTAGGACATTTTAGGACAACCTAAAATCATAACTAAGTTTTTTATAAATTTAGGTTTGAGAATTATCAACCCATTAATTTTAATTATTAATAATATATTATTTACCCTTTAATACCCTTGGAAATTGTTTACATTTATTGAAAGTAGACAATAAACAAAACACAAAAAAACAAGTAACCAAAACATAATCAAAAAACTCTTGAACTTAATAATTACAACTCTTACATGTAAAATGTCTGCAAATAAAAACTTACATCTGAAATACTAAACAAAATACCAAAGTTATACTTACTTCTATTATGTGATCGATTAATAAAGGAGTAAAAGAAACAAAATATAAAACGTTACTAAATTTTTCATTTTATAAAGTTAATATCATTCTACTGATGTTTTATTCGAAAGAAAAAAAACTCATTCTTTTAGAGTTATAATAAATTTCAATCCAAAATAAATAGTATTTTAACATAATTCTAAATTGACTAAACTGACAGTTCTTTACTTCTTTTTTCTAATACATCTTGCTCATCAACAAGCTCTTGTCTTCTTTTCATTCCTATTTCAATTTTACTCTGGGCTCACTGCAATTCATTTTTTGTGCTTTTTTTTTGAAGCAGTCACTTCTTCAAATCACTATTTCCTTCAAATACTAAATTGTCAGCAACTGGATAAAAGATGGTCAGCAACAGACCATCTTTTATCAACCAAAAAAACAAATGTTTACTTCATGCATTAATAAAAAAAATCAAAATTGACAACTAATCACATCAGTAAAACAATTTTTATAAAGTCCAGTATAATTTACTTGTTGAATGGATGCAAGAATTATTTTTCATTTTCCAAAACATTGCCTCCTCAGATTTTTTAGTTGTTTTAAGATTTTCTTCTTCCTCTTTCAACCTGCGTTTAGCTTCCAGATCAGCTTTGCAAATTAAGTGATCTAATTTAACTGATTGAACATTTATAATAGCATTCTGGAAGCAATTCTATTTGGTAAACGCTCCATTCATTTTGTACATTATCAAAAACCTCTTCCTTTGATGAACAGGATCGAAAAACTTTACATAAGATTACTTCCAATGATTTACATACTTTTATAGTGAGATTTGAGACAGCCCCTAGAGACACATTACTTCCTTTTTTGATGGATCAAGAAAGATTGCATTTTTTAAAACAACTGTTTCCCAAGGTAACTTTATTTTTAAATAACTTGTACATGCTTGATAAGACTCAAGAGAATTTTGTCTTGCTACCATCATTATCAACATAAAAGCTTAGTTTTGATAACCTTCGACATAAGTGCAACAAAAAGTTTTGACATTTCAGAGTAAATCAGGTAAATTTTTGGTTTAATTGATTGAAATGTTTTTAAAATTATTTTAAAGTCATTTGCTATGAAAGCAATAAATGCAATATAAGGCATTGATATTTCATTTCGCAAAATATCTGTAATCCTCTTATATCTTTCAGTATCTCTAACAGTTGATTTAAAAGATGTTGTTGTTGGAAGAAATTTTATAAAATATTCACAAAGATTCTTATGTTGTTCTAAAATCTGAGAACATATTCTTCTGAGTGTCACCCATCTTGTAGAAGAATGTCTTTGAATAATTTCTGTTAGATCTTCTATTTGTCAATAGTTTGATCTTCTTGCAGCAGAATGTTTAAAAAAAAAGTTTACACCAATTGCAAATGAGTCGATGTTGAAATTGAAAACATTAACTCCTGCTCTAAATGCATTATGAACTATATGCTAGGGGCATGTGCCTATTGATATAATATTTGTATTCAAACTTTTTATTTTCTCTGACGACTTAAAAAGTCTCTCAAACTTAATATTTACAATAGGACTATCTATACCAATACGGAACATAAACTTTATGCTAAGTTTAACTTTCTCTACAAGTTCAAGAAAATGTTCTAACAACTTTTCAGCAGTACAATGGTCTACTATGACAATTCCACAGTATGCAATTTTAATGCACTTAGCCATAACCATCATACTGTTTATTAACTTGTTGAGTTGTAGATTCGTCAAATTTAAGTGTAAAAACAGTATCGTTCAAGTCCTCCAATAACAATGTTTTTAAATATGGAAAGATGCCGCATTGAATGGTGTATTTAGACTTTGTTATAAAAGCAGCATATGCAGAGACTGCATATGCTGCTTTTGCAGCATGCGAGTTCCATCCATTTACAACTCGGTTAGTGAAGAAATGCTTCCTCTCTTGGCAATTTTTGACTACTTGCTTTATTAATCTTCGGTTGTGTCCTTGTAGGCAATAATTTACTATTGATG